AAAATTTAATCAATATTCTTCTCTTCTGTAACCCAAAGAAATTATTGAGAATTCATAAAGTATATTTTGTATCCCAAAGCAACATTTTATTTACATTTTAACTCCCATCTTCCTTCTACTCCTTTCGTCCATATTAAATAACGAGATTGTGCACACGATGCAAGCATAGACTCAGATTAGTTTAAACTTAATGAATATACACAAGAAGTATTATCTAAAGAATATTGATAAGCCAATTCATTCTTTATAAAATTTACTCTCCATATTATTATTGAATAATCTCTTCCTCCTGAGATAAGTTAATCTTCTTGTGTATTTAATATTAAACACGATACCGCTTTAGTATGAGATATATATGGTTTTGACCACTTCCATTCTTTGTTATTACAATAATTCCAACAAATAACTGATTTATCCTAACTCCCAGAAATGAAACAATTCATTTTTTTGCTATATACTAAACAATTAATTTAATCTTAATGCACCTTAAATCGACTTTATAATTGCAATCTTCCTTATTTAAAATTCCTAAACTAAAATATCATTACAATGATTTGATATCATAATTGACCCAGAGTTATTAAACACTATTCCATAACAAAAGTCAGTCTATTTATTGAAATCATCAATTAACTTAATTTTAACGTCAGTTTACTCTAATATAACATTTTCAATTTGTTATTATTCTTGAATTATATTAATTTACTTCATTTAATCTGTTTATTGATTAATACTCTCTAAATTTGTTAATAACTATTGACACTTATTGGTCAATTCAAATGAATTTGAATTCATTCAATTTCATACTTATCTTTTTGATTCCAGTTGTAATTAATTGTGTTAATTTAATCAAATAGTTGCTTAATAATCGAACTCCTCCAATTTTAACCTTGATTAATTAGATTATCCCAATTATTCACAGAAACTGTAATTGGGAATTCTCTTATCCACATTTATTATAAGCATTTCATCCCATTTCATTTGTGTTACTAATGAATTAATCTAATTATTAGATTATGTATGATTTCAATTAATCGAATGTCTTCTAAAGTTCATAGATCTAGTTGATATTCATCATTATATCTTATTCCATTTATTCTACCTTCTTTTTTTGATTTTCCTCAATTAGTTAAGCTACCTTTTTAAAACTCATTACATTATTTAGATTAGTTTCTAAATTATCCATACATAAATTGCATAAAAGTCGTTTTTTCTTATCTATAGTTTTATCACAAACAACCATATAAATTGGAAGTTTATGATTCATGGAACAAACAAGATCTTCCTCTTTTTCTATCATCTTTTATTTTATCATTATTAATTATAAATAAAATATAAATCAATAAATAATCAACATAATGTCTTTAATACTCTTAAGAGTTTGAATAAAAAATAGGATTACGATAATAATTTAATGAAATAATTATGAATAATTAGTTACAGCTCTTAAAATTAATTACTCCCCTTAGAATTGAAAGAATGAATTTTCATGCAAATCTTGTTTATTTTCTAAATAAATTGTTTGTCAGCCATAAAAATTTAATAATAAAGAAATAATTCTTTAAAGTACTAATTCTTGATAGAAATTACTCACTTTGGATTCTGCATGATTTGATGTGAACCTTCATAAATAAGAAAAGCTTAGTTAAACTTAATAAATTATTTTTATTATAAGTATTTATTTGGTGCAGTATCAAAATTATGTATTACTTTAAATAGGAAAAATCAAAAACACTGATACAAATGAATTTTGGAGTTATTAATATAATAGGTTTGAAATTTTTCAGAATTAAATTTAATTAGAGAGCAAAAACATAAGGAAATATGTTTTATATTAAGAGATTGACTCAATGTTCTAAGTTACATGATTCATAAACATTCAATTTTCCAGATCTTAAACATTATACTTTAATCAATTCAATTTAATGAATAATCGATATAATTCAATGAAACTTAAAGTATCAAATATTCAAAGATAAATTATAACCAATCTAGCTATGATCATTATAATTAAATCTTAAAGCGTCTATCAAAAATCAATTTTAAATGTGCAACTATAATAACTTTGAGAGGATTTTTGTCTCAACAGAAGAAAGGATTCTACAAAGCAGCATCGAACAGCCATCTCTAACCCAAAAATTATAACTACTGTTACACACCAATTTAATATTTAATTGATTCTCACTTTCTGTAAGCGTGACTGCACAGTAAAATTATTATTCTTGCATAGTTTAATCAGCAACCGCATATACTATATGTTTCTTATATTTTTTATGTTCTTCAATGTAACAATAACATATTTTAAATGCATTTAAAACATACGATTTTGTTATTGAGAATCATTAGAGCAAGGCTGATTGATATATTTGAAAAAATAGTAAACAGCTGTCCTAATTTTAATTTCAAATCATACTTAATAAATACATGCTCATCTTATTATTGTTAATTATATCCAACTTGTCTCAGTAAAGTTGTCTATAAATGTATTTAATCCAAGGGAAATTGCATCCTTCTGTAGTGTAGTTTATCTTCTATTGCATGAAATACAGCTCAGCAGATACTTTGTTCTCCATTGATATTTTAGTTATCTTATCCTTATAATCATATTTATATTCACAATAGCTTATTGGTTACTATGTATTTCTAGTAATAAGGTTAAAGTTATCGGCATATGTCTATTAAATGCATGTAGTTTAGAGAATATAATTATGTAAAACATATAATTCTTATGATAGCAAAAGTTTTCTCGAAATTGATTAAGATTAATTAAGTTTGGTAATCTACACCGTTGCGCTAAATAACTTGCCCCTAATAATATCTCAGGGATATAATGGGAATTGGTTTCTACCAACTCCTTGCATCACAACATTTGTATGCTATAAGGATATCTAATTTGCTGAAATTAAATAAGTTGGCAATTAAGTCTTGCACAAGTGAAATCATAGTGATAAAGAATTTTCTAAAAGCCAGGGTTGTTGTTAATATACTACCAAATTCTGTCGTGTTCATGTGAGTTTACTGAACTTCTTTGTTAAATTTTGCAATTAATTAACTATTTTTCAACTCCTAATCGGTTCTATGTGTCCTGAAATAACACTTATTGAACTTTATTGAAACCGTTGATCAAAATCTAAAACCTTTTTCTTCGCCTTTGAAGAGAGTCTCTTATTAATGCATAATTAATTTGCATAGTTACCCTCTTTATCTGGGGTTAGCCGTAGAACTGAACCCTGCCAACTTGTTAAGAATATATTTATAACAGAGACACGTATTTTTCAAGTTGGATGGAATTATTTCAAAAACTACAATACTGACTCAACAGCATGATAACCCTTTCACTGTTTTCTCAAAGAAACTTTGCAATGTATATATTATGTG